CTTTCCTTGAATATATTCTTTTTATAAATTCAAGTCCCCAAAAATAGGCCTGATAATATTATCTTTATCTAAAAAGTGGAGTGGGAATCATTCCCTTTAAAAACCAAAGGAAGTCCCATTAGAAGTCAGTTATAAAAATTCTTTAGTTCAGTTGAAACCTCTTAGTTCGATTTTTTATCAAGTACATAAAATTCATTTCTAAAAAAAATACAAGTATAAAAAAAATATTATTCATAAAAGTATCCAGTATCATCATTGCTACAAAATCCCAATTTTAAGGAATTTCATTTATAAAATTAATATTAATATAAAAAAGGAATATATTCAAAAAAAGGAAAAACTGATATTGAACAACACACTAAAAAAACAACAATCAATAAAAAAGTAAGTGAATTAATAATAAAATTTATTTGATTATCATTTCTTTTCTATTTCTAATTTCTGTTCCCTGATAGTATTGGTACAATTTAAGTTGGACCCATACTATCAACATCACATTTTGGTTAGGACCTTTTCCAAATTTTGCCGATTCAATTTAAGTTGTATCGACAAAATTTAAACCATATATTTTCCAATTTCCTTTTTTCTAAAAGAAAACTCAAATTATAAAACTATTCCCAAGTTAGAGGACAATGCGTTCCTGACTTGAAATAATCAAATTAAATACTTTGCTTTGTGCATCCTAGGATGTAACATATGTCTATTTATTATGAAGATTAACGCAGAAATTTTTAAAATAATTTCGGAGGGACTGGGGATTGAACCCGGGTTCGCCGCGCATAAAGAAACAACCTAACCAACTAACCAACTATGGATGGAAAAAAAATCTTTCCCTTATGCTGCAAGTGATCTCCCATTAGTTAACACGTTGTTGACTAAAACAGCGGGCTGATTCAAAAATGGTTTCAATGAAAAATTTGAATATTTATATTATAATAATTAATTTAATTGTCATATAATCTATAATAATTAAAAGTTTATTCAAATAAACTTTTAAAATTGTAAATTATAAAAAAAATATTAAACTACACTTTAATTTATTTTATAAAATAAAAATTATTAAATAAATATAAAAATATTAAAGAATTTATTTTTAATGATAAATATTTCACTTTATTATTTTAAATTTACTGAATAATAATGACTGTCCCCATTTACCCTGAGTTTTCAAATTTTTGGGGTAAATGGGGACAGCTTGTTATTATTAACCAAATTATCAAAAATCAAAAATTCAAGTCAATTTCTGTTATGGGAGTCATAAGAAATAAGAAAAAAATTTGGTATGATTTTTAAGTCTGTTTTTTTCAAATGCGAGACAAAATACTGAAATAAAAAAAATAAAAAAATTTTAATTGGTTCAACTATTATATATCTACTACAAATTTGTTTCAAGTTTTTTCATCCCTTAATACAGTAATATACTTAAAGAAACTTTTTTCTTAAAACTTTCTCAGAAACTATGCTGTCCCCATTTACCCCAAATTTTATGAAATTTTATAAATTTTGGGGTAAATGGGGAGAGTCAATTTCATGCATTTAAAGCTTATCTAAATTTTTTTCTGCTGCATAAAATTAATCCTAGGAACGTAAATAACAACTTTAAAAAAATAAACTCGCAAATATTACCTTCTAAAGTAAGAAACTTACGTAATTTGTGAAAAATAGCGATTTTGTCCCCATTTACCCCAACTGACCCTACCTTGATTTATTAAATTATTTACATAAATTAAAAATTATAAATTTTATTGTTATTCAATTAACCATTATGGGAATGTGGAAAAAAATACCTTCTATGGACGGACGAGGTAAAATAAATATTTGTTTTCTTTTCTTTCAAAAAAAATTTATTATGCGTACTTTTTTTTATAGTTTATTATTTTATGTTTAAATATATATATAAATATATAAGTCTTTATCAAAAAAAAATGATAAAGAGTAGATGCAAGAAGAAAAACAAAATGTTCCTCTCACATTTTAGATAAAAAAGGTAAATAGATAAAAGAAATAAAGGAAATAAAATAATCAAAATATTGTAGGATATAACACATAAGTTAAGGCAAAAATAAAAGAAAAAAAAGAAATAATTATTTTTTTTTGTGTTATATTTTTAAATTTTATTTTCATGTATATTAACTTAAATAATAAATAAAGTTTAAAAAATATTAAATAAATAAATAATATAGTAATAATAAAATAATAAATAATCTATAAATTTTCCTATACAATTTTCTTGGAAATTCACTAAGATAATTTTTTGGAAGTTAACCACACGGAGAGAAATATCATACTATATGTACATGGAGGACTGTTACTGTTTTCGCAAAATACTATTTGATGTAAGAATCGTTTATCACGCAAGATATTTTTTCATGAAATCATGTGTTAATAGCACGAGTTAACCTGATGTGAAATTAAAAAGACATATGTACTATAAACGCTCAAGAAACATGAAAAAATCGCTTCCCTTTTCTCTATATAAAGTTGGCTTGAAATCTATGCGCTTTTTGGATGGATTTCTTGCAAATGGGACTGGACCCGTGAACCGGGAGTGACGCTTGCGCAGTTCATATGTATCTCCGTTGCAAGAAATCCATCCAAAAAGCGCATGGATTTCAAGCGAATTTCGTATAGTGTGGTGGGGAGCATTTACGGCATAAACTTGAAGCAAAGATAACATATGTTCTCAACTTTTCTTGCATAGATATCTACGATACTGTAAACGCATGAATTTGCTGTAACAAACGCACGTAACAGCTGATGCGATTAACGAGTGATACAGCTCATGCGTTATTCGCTTGATATTTTTCTCCGTGCAAGAAGTTAACAGGAAGTTAATAAGGGAAACTACCCGACCTAAGACATTATTAGATTCAGGAAAATACACAGGAAGTTTCCACAAAGTTACCAGTGGAAATTTCCGAACTTACCTTGGATAGTTTTCTGGAAACTTCCAGAAAATAATGGTGCTATGTGGGTAAGAAAATAAACCAAAGAAGAATTCCAACAATCTATAATAAACACATGGGCATAACTATAAACTTTGACTTTTATGTTCCTCTAATACGTTTTGTTAATTTCAATAATTTTTTACTTGCTTTTTGTTGGACATACTAATTTTTAATATGAGCTATCGTTTGCTTTTTTATATAAATTTACTGTGGAGATACAGACTTATTCCACTTTTCATGTGCGATTTTTAACAATTTCTACTTACCCCTTTCATTATTTTTTGACGCTTTAAATTATTTAGTATTATTATTGTATTAATTAATGTTTATAACAATTAGAAAATCTATCAAAATCTGATATTCGTTTAAATATCAATTACAATGTTTAAAACTTGATAAAATGAGAATTATAACAAAGTTAAATTTGGGATCAGTCGTGGGTCTCATTTTTTTCATTGTAAAGTTAAAAGTTCCAGAGATATGCCCACATAAAATAAATATTATATATGTGATGGTATTTTGTTTTATGTATTAAATCCACATTTATTCTTGGATTTTTTTGATTACATAATGTTTCTCACATTAGCGTTTTTACATAAACATCTATGAAAAATTTTAAATATAGAATAAACTGATAATATTAAATTATTAAACATAAACTTAAACTTAGCAATGTGGATTCTTTTTTCGTAGTTTATTACATTATAAAATTTTTGTAATTAAAAATATAAAACGACTCTATAAAAAAATAGTTATTTATGATACAAGTGCGTAAAGTGAGTGATTATACGAGTGTGACGTTTGCAGCACGAGACGAAGCCGAGTAATGCAAATCACACCAGTATAATCAGATTTACGCACGTGTATCATACAACATTTTTTGCAACACCCACCTCTAAAGTTAAGTACCTATTATGAGGAATTCCAACTCTCTATTAGAATAATTTCGATTGTATAGAATTAAATAAATCAATCGAAGATCAGGAAAAATATCATTAAGCAGGAGTGTATACATTTAAAAGTAAAGTTCTTTTTTTAATTTTGTGGTTTTCTATGGTCTACAACAATGCTTATATTATGTGAGAGAAATTTCGGTGCGTAAAGTTTTCAGTGCTTAAAGTAATATTTCAATACGTAAAGTAAATTTCAGTGCGTAAAGTGAATCACTTTACGCACCGTTTGAAAAAGAGCTTCTTTACACACACTTTTCGGTGTGTAAAATTTAACTTTAGAGGTTAGTGTTGCAAAAAATTATTTTTAACGTCTCATATTTTAAGTTTTTTTAAAATTAATTTTATGTGAAATAGGACATCTGTAAGTTATTTTATACATTTTAATTTTGCAACTAATTAAATCTGTAATTATTTTATTTTTCTATGTATAACTAAGATTTTACAACTTTTCAATTTTTACCTGAAAAGACCCAACGCAGATGGACGAAAGCTTACGTAATCGAACAAAAATATATAGAATCAATGTGGATTTATCGTGTGGAACCAAATACCCTCACAATACATTTAAAAACTCGAAAAAATCTTACATTTATACTAAAATAAAAAAAATTCTTTAAAATAATTTCAAATTAAATGAAGTAAAAAAGAGAGATATAAACAAAAAATTTAATTTATTTTAAGAACCTTTCTAATATTTATCATTAACTTTTTACAGAAACTTTCTCAAATAAATTACCTTAAAACAATAAACTATACACTAGTCTTTTTTTACATGTAAAGCAACTAATTCTTATTAAATAAATAATTAATACAAATAAATTTTGTTAATTGGACTGACTACTTGGACACTCTATTTATAGTTTTAGCACAGTATGAATTATATAAGATATACTCCAAGACATAAAAATAATATAAATAATTTCAAGGAATTATAAACTAAGTTTTTTTTAAAAGTTAAACCTTCACATTGAATTGATTATAATAAAGTTTTGTTTCTAGTTAGAATGGCTGTTTTTAGTATTGAATAAAATGAATTTCATTGGTAGGAAAGATAAAATATAAATAAGAAAGAAAATTATTCGTAACAAACTTGTGGTACCTTGTGTTCCACAATGATTTGTTGAACTCTCAGTTGTACGTCGCAATGAATCAGAGGAAGGCCGTCAACATCGTCCAGCTTATCAAGGTTGTCTATGACTTCCTGATGAATGGGAGATGCGGGACAAACACTACTCGCTGAGCGAGAATTTATACTCGTTTCACTCAAATCGACATTTTCAGCATGAACTCGATTACAGTTACAATTTCCTCGACTTGTTCCAGGTTCGATCCAACGCGATTCATTATTTTGTGAAGGATAAGCTTGCAATCTGAAAATCATTAATAAAATATTAAAAATCAATTTTAATTTTACCGAGCGAAATGTGAGAAAATCAGAAAAAAGTTTCTTTATATCAACATTTTTAATTTTAATGTTTACCTGAACTGTAATTTGAAATATTCGAAATTAAACTGACCACGCTTCTATTAAAAAATATTTTATAAAACCGACCGTCGTATATAAAGAAAATTAAGGAATATTGTTTACGAATTTCGCGATCTATACTGTGCGTAAAAGATCAAAGGGTGCCGAAGACAATTAAAAAAGCGTTCAACAGATACATTTGTATGCACGCTAAGTTCAAAAATATTATACACTGGAACCTCTCCAACCATTGCAGCGCGCGAGTTTTATGTTCAATTCCTATTGAAAATCCCTATACAAGTTCTTGTACAAGAAAATGTACATGTTCAGCAGCTGAACTTGTACCTGTTCTGGTGAGAATATGTACAGGATCTTCTACAATTTCGGTACCAGAATTTGGAACATATTTTTGTGCAGATTCATGTACAAGTACTTACACATGAAACCGTTCATGTTCTTGTACAACTTCATTTTAAAAAAATTTTTTTTTCTAAAATTTAAGATTTTAGTAATTTAGAATCATTAGTACTTTTTACTCATGCATGCTAAAAAATTGTTGCGCAGCTGTAAAGTCTAAAGAAAACTACTGCGCAGCCTTTAAAGTTTTTAATTTTTACTAAACGAAGACATAAATGAACCTGTACAAGAACGTGTCCATTTTCTTGTATACAAATATTAAATATATTTACTTGTTCAAAATCTTGTGCAAGATCTTTACAGGGTTTTTCAATAGGGATGGATGGAGGTTACCCTTGCGTCAAGGTTATGTCAAAAAGTCTAAACACTCAGGGCCGTACATATTATATACTTATGTATGGGATATATGTTCTAATAAAAATTAAGATCAATTTTATTCTTTCTAAAGTAGAAAAATATTAATATTTTTATAAAGTAAGGATATTCCCACCCGAAATGTTTAATATAAAGTTGAAAAAATTCGATCCTTGGAAGGAATAAAATAACATAAATGTATGTTATTAAATTTTATTGCCACAAAACAATAAGTTGTAAATTCAGATGTTCATTGCATGAACATTTTGCTTCCTCTTTACGATCAGCAAAAAAATTTGCTTCCTCGTAGAGAAAGCATTAACATTGAAATAAACATACAAAAATAATATAATAATAATATAAACATTCGAGTATCTATAGATTTGAGTTAAATTTAAAGAATTAATGGAAGTTAAAAAATCAAAAATTCACATTTTAGCTATAATTTCTAAAAATTAATGAAAAATAATATATAATTTATAATTATTTACAATTATATCGGTTTGTTTCAATGCAAGGAACACAATTATTTTATATTTAAACTTGAATTTAAATAAATACAAAATTTTTCAGTTAAAATGGGAATTATTTTTTTTTAACTTTCATTAATTTTTTAAATTTAAATTGAAACTATACTTTATATATACCAATCGATTTGTTTTGACGTAAGGAATACGATTTTATTATATATAACCTTAAATTTTTCTATTTAAAAATTTTTTCGATTAAAAAAATATTTTTGGAAAGAAGGCGATAAATTTTTTTTTTTTTTTAAATCCTTTGGTCAGATTTGAGATATTAATATGATAAATGAGACTACCAAATTTTATCTAAATCCATTAAAACCTGTTAAAGTTATCGTCTAAACAAAAAAGGGATCCACACACATACACACACACATACATACTTCCGGACAATTGATCAGGATCTCATATAACATGTTTCTATATAGAAAAAAATTTGTTTCCGCCACTTTGAAAATTTTTATAAACGAAAGGACTACAAAGCTTCGTCCACGAGGAAGCAAAAACGACGTTTCGTTGACTTGGTTCGTCATCCTCTTCAGGTTAAATCTAATGAACATTATTAATTTTATTTAAAACATCATATTCTTTTTTTTATAAAAATAACAATATATAAATAATAACAATTACCAATGTTTTAATATTAAATTTAACCGTTACATCTTTACTTTAAAAGTTTTATTTTGCACAGTCTAAGCTGGCACGTTAGGTTTATAGACAAGTGTCGTCAAGACTAAATTCAAAAATACAAAATTTAAAACTCTAAATGAAATAGAGGAGTCAATGAACTTAGATTTAAACTGCACGTGGAAGTGAAATATTTTCAGAAAAATAGAATCACACTGTTTAATTTAGAAATTAATTTGGATTTTTGTTTTGTGGCAATAAACAACATTTAATAACATAAATTTTTTATGTTTTTTTATTCCTTCCAAGGATCGAATTATTTTAACTTTATATTAAATATTAATATATTTACGTACATTTAAAATATAATAATGCAGTTAATAATATCGATAACTCTGATCGATTGTTTAAATTAGAAATAAGGAAAAAGAAACGTTACTGCTTTTTCTTGCTTGACGCCATGTTTTCCCCTCTGACTCTTCTTGCCGCTGCCCACCAAGTTTTGGTAAACAACTGCAATGGTCAGAGATGCAATGGTTGGAGGTTCGAGTGTATAAATGGAAAATAAATATTAATTAATAAATTGTTCTCAATAGTTTCATTTATCGGTATTATTTTATTATTGAATAACCAAGTTTATATTTTTTAAATTATTGTTTGTGTACTATTTTTACTCAATTTAATGGTAAATATTTCTAAATAAAATAGTAGAATTTTAAAAACTTACGTTTCCTTTTCTCCATTTGATAGATTATCGCTGTTAGGAATCAGAGTATCAGTGGAACTATCCCCAGAGGTATTAATGGGTAATTCACTTGGTTCCTTTTTAACACTGAACGCATTTCTCCTTTCTTCAGCTTCCATTTCTTTCTTTGTATTTTCTTCAGGCTTATCAATATTCTGAATCTCCTCATCTTTATCCGATTGACTATCAAGACACAGTGTGTCAAATTTTCTATAAAGAAAAAGAATATAATCATTCATGTTTTTTTTTATAATTTTTTCGATCTGGTCAGAAGTAGAAATTAATGAAATATAAAAAATTTGGAACTTACTTCTCGATGGAAATGCTAGAGTCACTCAATCTTCGTTGAAGTCGTGTTAAATGATCTTGTGCATGAATAAGATCACCGTAAGATCGTGTTTTTGTCATTTGTCCCTGTGGCTCTTCGTTTTCACCATTTTCTATGTCAATCATTGTCATTCTCTGCTTTATATCACTGACACCGAGAGTAGTTTCCAAGGATCCTAAATACACCTCTGACCAAAGTACCAAATCTCTCACATTATAACTTGGCCATAATACCTGAAGGAAATCAAATTATAATTATCTTACACATTTTTTTACGAACGTGGGAGAATTTAATTGAGAGTTTGAAAAGCTTGAATTATTATTGTTACAAAAAATAAATGATTAATTCAATTCATTCACATAATAATTATACAACTTTAACCTATTTAGTATTCAGGTGCTCTCTATCAGAATCTGACAATGAAAGTTCAACTTTTCAGGTTAACAAAGTGTTGTGAAAGGTGAACATTTATTAACTCCTCTGCTGAGAGTGCCAAAAATGTGGCAAAATCCATTTTCTCGCAATGTGTTGGAGATAACGACGTTTGCAACACGTGGTGAAAGAATGATTTTTCTCGAATGATGATTCCAAAACTCCAAATAGTACATCCAAAATATCCGACCAAATGTGGAAAATTCAAAAAGTTGAACTAAGCTCATGAAACTGACTACCCGAGGATTTTCGGGGTCCCTTACTACAAATCCTATGTCAGTTTCTTAAAATTTTAAATGAGGGATTAAGGAGCTAATCGTAGTCATAATTTTGAAAAATCGATTTTTTTTACATTTTCTCGAAGTACATCATGTTGAAAACGTCTTGAAGGTAAATCAATTCGACAAAAATTGACAAAGGTAGCAAAATTTTTGTCGAGTCAATGTTAATTTACACTAAAGTTGAAACTTTAAACACGTTTTTCTCCAAACCATGTTTTTGAAAGCGGTGACCATTATTACTCGAGAACCGCTTAACCGAATTACTTTTTATTAGGCAGGCTTCATTAATATGTCAAAACGCACTGCTTGATCGTAGAATTTCTATTTTCATTCAAATCCTTTTTTTATCGACAAAAACGGATGATTTTTATGCCGAAAATCGAAATCTGAGTTTAACCGGTCACCATTTTGTCAAAAATAGTATTTCTAAAAAAAGCTATGATCAAACAGCCGAGAAACTAATACTAATAGGAAGAAATACACATAATGCAGAGAAAAAACATGAAAAAAACACGCGTTTTTCTCTCCTCTGACTGCGACTAACCCGTTAATTAGAGTGGAACAGTTTTCAAAAATTGATCGGATTAGCATGAAACTTGTAAACTTGGTTTTTTTCGTGGCATTTGATTACGAATCTACATTAAAATCTTCTAAATTCAATATGGAGTCCTTGATTACGAATTTATTGCCGCATTTGTAATCAAATTTTGAATTTTTAAGTCAATAAAAGATCATTTTTCTTCCAGAATTTTGATAAAAATTATTTTGATTATTGTAATGAAATAGTTTTTAAAAATTTAATCCATCACCTTGAATCTCAACTTTAGATAATGTAAATTGAATATTTGTTAATAAGATAAGAAAAAATTAGTTATTCGAATTAAACAGTAGGGACATTAAAACTATATTTCCTGACGAATTCCTATATTTAGAGAAATTAAAATTCCTTCCATGGAAGCATGACAAAGGACTTCGACTTGAACAAATAGTTTCAATGTCATTTATTTATATTATTGGAAAAGTGAAGCGACGTGTTTATGACCTAAAACTAAATTGTGAGTATTATTTAATTAAAACTTCTTTTGAAACAATTACATTTACACCTCAGATAGTTAAAAGCATCTTATCAATATTGAAGTAGATTTTGATAAAAAAAAATAATAAATTTTAGGTAATTTATAATTTTTCTTCTTACATTTTTGTAAAAACAATATTTTGTTCTGTGATTTGTGAATTTTAAAGTGTTGTCAATTAGTGCCATTTTCACAATAAAAGTCTCATCGTGATGATGAATCAAGTCAACGAAACGTTGCTTCAATTTTTTAAGAATAAAACAAATGACATAAAACTATTCGTTTACATTTCTTTTGTTTTTCTTTTTGCCTTAAGGGGGAGGGGGGGTATGGTATTTAATTTTTTTTGCATTTTTTTTATTTTTTTAAATGAATGTATAATATTTCAAGAATATTGTGTAAAAATTTCAAGCCGATCGGAGCAAAATTGACGAAATTATGAGCATTTGAGCATTCAAGTGTCGGTTGATCCGCGGGCTGTGTTTTCGTATATTTTGAATTTAGTTTGTGTTTAACCTTTTGCGGACATTTCTGAATGTTCTCTGATGTCGTTGATGTGTATGTATAAGTTTTGGGGTCGCTGATTACGAATCTGAAATCAGATTTCAAAAATTGTCAAAATTTCAAATTGCGTTTTTCTCGAAGTGAGATTTTTTAAGTCCGTGTTCACGATATCTCAAAATCTACTGAACCAATCGTTCTGAAATTTGGCACAGTTCTTCTTGACTAAATTCCCCAGGTAACTACGAATGCTTTTTTTTCTTTAATAATTATTAATTATACAGTAAAAAATAGATCGTTTTTTTCAGCGAAAATCGAGTTTTTGAGTTTCAAGTGCTGCGAAAAATAAAAAAAAAATCTCTCGTTGTTACCTCGAAAAATATCTCCTTTAACAAAAAATTTTTTTTCTTTTTATTTAGATGATTCTGTTGCGAGTTACGTTGAACACCGCAAATCAATTTTTTAACGAGGCGCCTGAAGAGATTTACTGCCACTCGTTCAATTTGCAATATTTTTCAATGAGAATTTAGGAAAATATACTTCAAATAAGCGGCTGGGTAGAAGAATTCACCGAGCGCTCGGCTGGCTGCTATGTTGCTAGTCAAACACTCAAAAATGCATATAAAATTAAAATTCGAAATTTTGTTTTTCGAAATGTACTACCTTGTAGGAAATAAAGAGGCGCATCTATTTTTCCTTTGGACAAAAAATATAAAATAAATATTAATAATTTTTAATTGTTGAACAATTTTTTATCATAAACAAATACCTGTCGGTAAACACATACACTTACCTTTGCCGGCAAAAAGTCTGCGGGGAAGTTCAAAGTTGAAAAAACTTCCAGTGAGACATTTGCGTTTAACAACATAATGAGTTTTCTGGAAAGTGTCAAACTAATTCATTCATTAGTTTAAAACATATTGCAAAATGCCAATCAAATTAATTAAGATTTGACAAAGATACCACGATTTATGTTTAAAAATTGAATGAAATTTGAAAATTAAAATTTATCAGTTTTTTTAAATTATTAAATAAACTATTCGTTTAACAAGAAAAATTCAAAGGAAAAAAAGATGCACCTCTTTATTTCCTACAAGGTAGTACTTTTCAAAAAACAAAATTTTGAATTTTCATTTTATATGCATTTTTGAGTGTTTGACTGGCAACATAGCAGCCAGCCGAGCGCTCGGCGAATTCTTCTTCCCGGCCGCTCAAATATTGTATTAATATGTGGAAATTAAGTTAATAAAGTAACACACTTTATATCACAGAAAAAAATGATTAAAAAAGTGTCTTTTTTACACCGAATTAACCCCTCTTAAAATTACTCACTTGAATTTTTAACGGAGAGTACAGATGATTTATAAACGAAGTGGAGTTGAGAAACCGCCACACTGAGAATGTTCGCTCTTGAATTCTCAGCTGAAGCCTCTCATGTCTCGTATTGCATAGAAACGTTCCAAAAAGTTGAGAATACGTATGCTGCGCTAATTTCACCTAAAAATTAAAATAGAAATTAATAATAAAAAGTTCCGCCTTATTTAATTATCAGTGAAAAAAGATAACTTGCAAGATATGCAGGCGACATTTGAAAGCTACAAGGAAATTGTTTAATTAACTGATGGACACAGTCGAGCCATTGTAAAAATACTGGACAACGTTCATTTGGATCTTCGCCACCAACTGTTTGTCCACATCTATCGGCAAACTTATGACCAAAATCAAGCCATTCTCTTTCACATAAAATTTGAAAACCCTAAAATTACAAAATAATTCTTGTAGTCTTTGTACAAGTATATTGATTTTCATGTCAAGAAAATTGACAAACCTCCATTGTTCGATAATAAGGATCGAGTAATATCTGGGCCAATGCTACGATTTGAGGCGTTCTATCCCACCCATCGCTGCAGTGAACTAATACTGGCCTTCCGTCACTTTCGATCGCAGATGCAACTGTAACCGCTGCTTGTAATAATCCCGACATGTGTTGCAACCATCGCGTATTTTCTAATAAACTCAGATAACTATAATAACAAAATACGGTTATAATATATTCACAATTACAGTTGTTCTTCTTATTAACATTATTTCATTTATTATATTATTAGTATCAAAGAAACCCGTGTTACGAATACAATGAATTTCATAGATCGGTCTTAAGACTAGACAATGAACATAAAAAAGTAAAACGTTTTTTTTCAAGGTAAATAACATTAAAAATAAAATTCCAAAATTGAGGGGAGAGACTACTGAAATTTTAAACCATCGATTTACATTGATGAAATCTTGTCTGGAATATTATATCTTATAATCTAAAACTATTCCATTTGTTAAAAAAAATTATTTTCACCATTTTAGAATTTTAGAATTGAATTTTAAAAAGATTATCATTTTTTAAAATAAAGATAAATGAATGGATAAAGAAATTGAGAATAAATTTAGCGAAAAAATAGTGCTAATAAATAGAAATTAGATTTCAAAAAAAAGGTAAAACTCATTATTTTAATTTCAAAAAATTGTTAATTATATAATAATAAAATGCTTGGTCTGTCCTTCTGTCCTAACTTGAAGTTGGCCTTTTCTGATTTCACGTGTTTTTTTGAATAGTAATCTTATGACGTGTCAAATTTTGACAATTTTTTTTCTCATTTTTTCCAAACTTGTATAATTGTGTTTCCAAATTTCGGAATAAGTTTCTTTAAAATTCCAAATTCGAAAATTTAATTCACGAAGCTGAAGTACACAACGTTTACCAACGAAATTTTTTTTAAAGTTGTATATTGATTCAAAAATTGTATACAAATACAAAAAATTTATGCTGAGAAAAAAGATGCGCCAATAAATTTCGTACAATATAGTAATTTGAAAAAAATTTATTTTTAAGGTACCAGGGGCCAACGAATACCTATTAAATATTAATTATAAAAACACAGGCCTCGAATCAATTTAAAGACACAATAAGTCGTTTTAGTCGATTTATATTCCAAAAAAAGTGGATTTGTTTTTTATTTTAACAAAAATATTTTACAGATTTTTAAATAAAAATTTTTTTTTAATAATAATCCTTTTCGAAGGGTTAAAGTTGAAAGTTTTAGAAATAATTAAATTTCAAAAGATATTGTTAATTTTCAAACAATTATTAAATTTTACATAACTAAAAATAATTTATCAAACAATTTTTGGAAAACATTTTTTAAATTTAATTGAATTTTCAAAGGTTTAAAATTGAGATTTTTGAAATTAATTGAAACTTTAAGTGTTTTGTAATTAAAATTTTAGATGATTTCACTAAAAATTTATTAGAAAATGCGGACAAAATACAATAATTTGAAAATCATTTTTAATTGAAAAATGGTTTTCAAAGAATATTATTAAAATAGTTAAAAATAATTGAATATCCTTAGAGTTATAATTCAAATTATTAAATTTAAAAAAAAAAAATTTTCGTTGGAAAATTTTAGATGCTTTTAAATTCAAATTATTGAAAATTCAATTAATTTTGAATTCAAATATTTGAGAACAATGAAAATTTATTTGATTTTAAATTTGGAAAATAATTGAATTTTTGAAAAAAGTCTGATAAAGTCGTATAATCCGAGGCCTGTAAACATATAATTTTCATTATTATCATTTAAAATGTAATAATATTCTAATAAATTAAATTATTATTGATAATATTAATCTTTAATTTCTTTATAACAAACAATTAAACACTCAATTTGGCGCGCTTGCGCGCGTTTAATTTTGCTAGTTTGAAAATAATTTATATTAAAAATATGTTGATGAATGACTTTTTAATTATTACAATAACATTTTAATGATGCGTTTCACCACAAATTCTATGTCCTCATCAGGAACATGTCTTTGAATATAATACATTGTCAACGCTATATAATAATTTATCACTTTATTTAGTTTAAAACTATCAACGTAAGATAAAAAAAGTATTTTTAAAATTGAAACAACCTCATTATTATTGAAAGATTTATTATTAAATAACATCTTATTTCATTAAAAGATTCTTTTCTGATTAAAAATAAACATAATAATTAGAACACATGTTTTACATGTGCTGCAAAAATTGAGGTAAAAAATGTTTTTAACCTTTTTACATTCTCATCATAATGAGAAGGTATTTTTTTAACATTTTTAACTTCAATTTTCGGAGCACATGTCAAACATGTGTTCTAATTATTATATGTTTATATTTAACTAGAAAAGAATCTTTTAATAAAATAAGATGTTATTTAATAATAGTTGTAAACTAAATAAGTGGACAAATTATATAATATTGATAATATATAAAAAATATATATTGATATATATAATATCTATAACAAATGTATTTAAATTGACATGTATTTGATGAGGATATGGAATTCTGTGATGAAACGCGTTATTAAAATGTTATTGTAATAATTAAAAAGCCATTAGGCCAAACATTCATCAACATTTTTTAATTAAATATTTTTGTTTGTAAGAAAAGGATATTCTACTTGTTCATTAATTAATGTGGCCAAGAAATGAATGAATTCATAATTAGGAATGATAAATAGATAAAAATGGTTATTTTTCCTATACATAATACATAAGGATATGAGAGACGAGATGTGCGTGCAGAATGTGTGTGGGATGAGTTTATTACCAATATAAAGACGACTCACTTTGGTTGTTCAGAATCGGAGGCGCAAAGCTGCCTCACCGCGTGAAAGCTTTTTCGAATAGAGTGTATATTTGCAAGATTCATGAACTGTATGTCGCAGCTGAGATAATACTCAGGACATTCACAGCCTCCGCCTCGTGCTCGATTCGCGACCGCTGTCGTATAAGACCTCGCATCAACAATCAGTACTTTCTGCAAAAATAAACGGTGGCGGTTTTAATACAGAAAAGAAGGAGATATACTGTTATCAGAAAAACGTGACAAAATTGATACTTTTTTACTGGCATTGTTTGCCACCGCAGTTTCCTCTCCTGCGTCAGGGTAATTAATTGGCGAATCAATCATTGTTGATTCCCCTCTGTCGTACGAACAGGCGTCAGACAGAGCTTTTAAAAGATCTTCATCCTCTCCACTTCGCCAACCAAGCCAACCGACTTCTGGTTGACTACTGCGCGCAATTACCGCTCCGTTTTTCACGTTCCTAAAATCATTTTCAAAAATTACTTTTTAAATTGTAACCATAAAATGTTACAAATGTTTTATTTATTATTTTATATTTTATTTAACTTTTCCAATTTTTAAAATAATTATGAAAAAATAAATAAATTAATTAATTAATTTAAATTAAATTATTTTGTCAAATCAATTATTTTCGCATAATATTTTTGTAAATTAAATTTTTTTTATTGTTCGATGTAAAAAAATTAAAAAAATTCCAGTATGTAACTATTTAATTTAAAAAAAAATTGTTAGTAAATCGGTGTATAGAAACTTATAATTTTACTTTCTGATACCGTATATTATAATAAGTTTATTTATAAATAAATTAAATTTAAGTAAAGTAATTTTTTCAAACTTGAAAAGGTTCATAATCCTTTCATTTTAAATAAATATTTTCTATGTAAAAAATTTATGAAAAAGTAGAAAATTGAATAATTAATTTTAAAAGAATTAAACTTTTTTAAAAAATTTAAATTTAATTGAATTTAAAAAATTAAATAATTTAATATTTAATGATTTGAATTAAAGCAAATAATTTTTTTTAAGCAATTGAAATTTTTCTGTAATTGATATTGATTTTTATTGTTAATAAATTAATTGAAAAATTTTCTTAACAAATTTATTAAAAATTAAAAAAGTGACAAAATTTTAAGAACGTTCTGTTTTCAATTTAAGAAAGTAATGTACCTTAAAGTTGAAGTAATAATTTCTTGATTTATTTGAGAAATAAAATTATATTATAAAATTATATATATTATATTATCTATCTAATTAATAAATATTTTTTAAAGACTTCATCATAACTAATATACTGATAAAAGAAATTGATTTTAACAACTAAAAGAGAATTTATTAGAATTAAAAATAAATGATAAATACCTCCACACAACGGCAGGTATTCTCCGCGAACTTCTAAATTTGGCAACATTTTCAAGAGTTTCGTCTGAAATGCAAGCAGGTACAAGCAGCTGTGGAGGATATGACGGGCACATTCGGTAATCTTTGTTGATTTGACTTATTCGCCAAGACCCATGCAAATTGAACCTTAACCGTTCCACCTAATGAAAACGATTTTCATAAATTAGTTAAGTTATTTCATATTCTCGAATCGGTTTGAAATATTTAAATGGAAATTCAAATTTACGTACTTCCGAGTTGAAAGTGGACAGATACGTACTACTCTCCTTCCCAAGTCTAGGATAATCTTTACCCTCTTCGGTGGACCACGCATAGTAAGCAAATGCAAACATATCTTCTATGCTTTTCCGAGGGCTTATCACTTTATGTAGTCGCTTATACCATTCCAAACAATGTTCATTGGTAGAAAAAGAGCAACTACAATTACAAACAAACCATGCAATGATTCAAATACTTGACACATCTTCTACTGAATCATCGTGATTTTGTTTTTATAATTCCTTCTCAATAGTAAAATAATAAATTGTGTCAAATTTTAAATTACCTGAGAGATCGGGCGTCTTTGCAACCAATGTGAAGAAAAAACATTTCCTTCACTTCAACAGTTTCGACTAGACCGAGAGGGATATTGCAGCAAGCTTTTCCGGCTTGAAGATAAAGTCTATAATTTGAAAGTGCCAAAACTCCATCTGAAGTGCGACCAAGTGCAGTTACTGATTCTCCACTCACAGGTACAAATGGAACAACTAAACTGTTATCCTCGCATTCCATGTGCGAAGCTTTCGGATAAAGTTCAGAGGCCCGCAATTGACAAATTGACTGCAAACTTGACGGTTCTTCGGAACTCTCCATTGCCAATCTACAAAGATAAATTTTACATGTTGAGTGCATAAAAATGCAAATAGGATTCTATGCAACTTTCACTTCTCGTAATCTCTCTTAGTTAAAGTGTGATAATTTTTGCATCTTCCGATCGCTTAATCTAAATTAGTTTTCCAAGTTTAATCCTCAAATAATCAACATTAACATTTTTACAATGTAAATTCCTCCTTCTGTAAAATTACTCAGCTGCGTTCCAGCATTTTTTGTCACTACATATACTTGTCAGTAATTTAAGCTCTCTGGGATAGATTTGTACCAGTGATTATTTGTCGGAAAAAGTCTCTGTACAAAATTAAAAATGAATCTTTAATGGCTGCGTAGTAGTTTTAACATGTTTAACCCTTTCACACCCAAGCAAAACTGAGAACTTAAAAAAATGAAACTGCAATACAGTTCTTACAGTTATAGGGGTCGCTGATTACGAATCCGGTGTATTTTCAAAAATTCAAAATGACGGATCCATTATGGCAAAAAAACTTTTTAAAATGCATCAGATTCGCTTAAAACTTTTTACTTGGGGGTTTTTTAGGGTTGCTGATCGAGAATCCAGTGTTAGTTTTCAAAAATCCACAATTGTAAATATAATATGGCTTATTAGTTTTTAAGAAACCGTTTGGTATTGATGGAAACTCATATAATACTTTGAGGTTTTATATGTCGATTTTTACAAATCAGGGGAGAGTGGGGCTGGTTGCACCATACGAGATATTTCTTACATTTCTAGGAATTTATGAGTGTTGATCACAGATGGAGTTAGTTACGTATAACGTATGAACTTTCAACCAAACTAGTACGGTTGCAAATGCAAAAGTTTTTCGGTTATTATAACCAAACATATTCATTTGTTATTTGAAAACATTATTTAAGAAGTTAGGTGGGTTTCAACTTAAAAAAAATTTTTTTTGACTTAAAAAATAGTTTAATATGTCTAGAATATTGTCCCAAAATTCCAAATCGATTGGAGTAATTTTCTAAAAGATAGAGCCTTCGGAAGTTCCCCCGCGGTCAACAACTAAAGGCACTTGTACACCTCAAAAATTCTGAGTATATATACTTAGAATTTGTGAGGTGTACAAGCGCCTTAATTGCGAATATTTTAGTAGCTGTATACCCTAATGCTATACCAACATTGTTACTTAATTTATTTTTGAAAAAATTGAACTTTCTGCAGATTTCACTTGATTAAAATTTAAATTTATGTCATTCTAAATTGAAATGTTGTAGTTAATAAACTTCGAATATAAAATTGGGTATTAAAACGCATATACCATTGGAAAAAAATATATGTATACGATAATATACTCTTTGTAATACTAAACATCTGAAAATCTGTTTGATGACTTTATAAAATAATATAAGTATCTGTTTAATGTATTTTCGTTATAAGAGACATTTTCTCAAGAAATTATATCGCCTCCCCTGGTCAAGCCCGTTAAGGCGCTCCCAGTGCGGTTGAGAGCTATGATGGTAGAGGGTTCGCGTCTCAGAGTCAACACGTAAGAAGAATTTTTTTTATATTACTGACGTGAAATAAAAACAAAATGTAATGAAATCTAATTTTATTATAATAATTTAAGATAAATTTATATTTTTGTAACAGAGATCTAGATTTGTTACATATGTGTAACTAGGAACTCATTTATAAATGCTCTTTTAAAAATTAATAAAAAAATTAAATTTTTAAAATAAATATCCGACGTCGGATCCGATCCCAAATCCGGAATTTGCAATAGGGTATATTGTGCCGGAATCGACGATTTAATGTAATTTGAAACAAATAAAACCATGTTTATTTTAATAACTAGCAACTTTGTCGTCCGCAAGCGGCCGACTACGCTGCTAGTGTGCATTATTAACCATATTTTTTATTCATTTTTTTTCAAAAAAATTTAATATTAGAAATGTAAAAAAAAATTTCTTTATATTGGATCTACCACCCAAGTAGCACGGAATATTGCTTGAATGTCAAGCTGATATCAACCGGGAATATTTTTGTGACATTCAGGCGATATCATAATGTCCTCTTCACGGGGACATTCCTCGGTGATGTATCTATATGATCTATGTGACGGTCTTTCACACAAAAAATGTAACGCATTACAAAACTTACATTTTACATTTATTAAACCTAAATAATTCTGTGGAACTTTACTTTCATCGAAATCTTCAAAAGACATTATTGCAACTCCTGCAGTTTTTTTATTCCGATTATCGTTTTTACATGTCAAATTCTTTTCTTCACACATCCCAGTTGAAAATTCCGACCACGTTTACGACGTCGTATTCTAAGTAGTTTGCGACGTAGTAAACGACGTAGTAAACGACGTAGAAAACGACATAGTAAACGACGTCGTAAATGAAAGCGGAATTTGGGATAGCAAACTACGTCGTTTACGATGTCGTTTACTACGTCGTTTACGATGTTGCAAAAATTATTTTAATATTATTTATTTAGTAATTTAGTAAGTCCAATATCCAATATTAAAAATTTTAATAATAATTTTAAAAAAAATTTATTTTTATTATTTTTTAATAGTTATTATTATTATTTTATTTTTAATATTTTAATTAAAATAAAAAAATGGTCATCAAAATATTAGTGAAACCATTTCTTCCAAAAAAGAATTTGTCTCAAATCCAATAAAGGAGAGACATCGGGCAGAAAAAAATTTCGACAAAAAAAAAATTTTCGATCACTGCTTATATACCAATCTAATAGCACCTCAACTGCGAGAAACAGTTATGATGTTCGCCCTCCCTGTGGCGTTGAGCGAACTTAAGTCCAGAGCTGAGCCATCAGCGCAGCGCGGAAACATTTGAAAAATTTGATTTTATTAGATATTTTATTTTATTTTAAATATGACAAATAATTAACTTAATAAATAATTAATGTCATAAATAATTATTAATAACATAATGTCATACTTAATAATTCGTTAATTAATTATTTTTAACGAAAATTTGACAAAAAAAAAATTTGTTGGCCAAAAAAAATATTACCATTAAAAAATAATTTTTTTGTTAAATTTTCGTAGTAAAAAAAATTTTTTTAAGACAATTATTTGTGACCTAAAAAAATATCACGATGAGAATATAATTAACAAAAAAAATTACTCGTAGCACAGAAAAAATTTCACCATGAGAAAATAATTTTTTTAAAATTTTATTTGTAAAAAATTTATTGGTAGCATCTAAAATTTCTAAAATTTTCCATCGAAATTTTTTTTTTTGAAATTTAATACTTTTAATTATAACTCTAAGGAAATTCAATTATTTTTAACTATTTTAATAATATTCTTTGAAAATTCAACTATGTGAAACCATTTTTCAATTAAAAATGATTTTCAAATTATTGTATTTTGTCCGCATTTTCTAATAAATTTTTAGTGAAATCATCTAAAATTTTAATTACAAAACACTTAAAGTTTCAATTAATTTCAAAAATCTCAATTTTAAATCTTTGAAAATTCAATTAAATTTAAAAAATGTTTTCCAAAAATTGTTTGATAAATTATTTTTAGTTCTGTAAAATTTAATAATTGTTTGAAAATTAACAATATCTTTTGAAATTTAATTATTTCTAAAAATTTCAACTTTAACCGTTCGAAAAGGATTATTATTAAAAAAAAAAAGTTTTATTTAAAAATCTGTAAAATATTTTTGTTAAAATGAAAAACAAATCCACTTTTTTTTGGAATATAAATCGACTAAAACGACCGTTTTTGTGTCTTTAAGTTGATTCGAGGCCTGTGTTTTTATAATTAATATTTAATAGGTAATCGTTGGCCCCTGGTACCTTAAAAATAAATTTTTTTCAAATTACTATCTTGTACGAAATTTCCTGGCGCATCTTTTTTCTTATCATAAATTTTTTGTATTTGTATACAATTTTTGAATCAATATACAATTTTTAAATTAATATACAACTTTAAAAAAAATTTCGTTGGTAAACGTTGTGTACTTCAGCTTCGTGAATTGAATTTTCGAATTTGGAATTTTAATGAAACTTATTCCGAAATTTGGAAAAAAATTGTCAAAATTTGACACGTCATAAGATTACTATTCAAAAAAACACGTGAAATCAGAAAAGGCCAACTTCAAGTTAGGACAGAAAGACAGACCAAACATTTTATTATTATATAATTATTTAATTAATTTTTTTTACAGAGAAATTTTGACAAAAAAAATTATTTTTTAATGGTAATATTCTATTTGGGCCACAAATAATTTTTTTCCTGAGAAAATTTTAAAATAAGTAAATTTCTCATCGTAATATTTTTTTGTGCTACGTACAATTTTTTTGTTAAATTTTTTTACAGAGAAATTTTTACAACAAAATTATTTTTCATCGTGATTTTTTTAAAAAACACGAATTTTTTTTTACAGAGAAAATTTGAAAAAAAATTATTATTTTATCATTGTGATATTCTTTTGTGCTACGAATAAATTTTTGGTAAATTTTCGTAGTAAAAAAAACAACGATTTATTACGGTATTTAGTGAATTAATTGTTTTGGAGAGAAAATTTGACAAAAAAGTTATTTTCTTATCGTGATAATTTTTTTAGGCCACAAAATATTTTTTTTACAGAGAAAATTTAAAAATAATTAAAATTCTCATCTTGATATTATTTTTGTACTACAAATATTTTTTTGTTACATTTTCGTAGTAAAAAATTAAGTAACTAATAATTACCATAAAACAGGGTTATTTCGCTCAGTGCGGGTAAAGTCGCTCACCCATTTTTTTGCTTTAAATTTGATTAAAAACTAAAATTTAGTATTTCTATTAACAAATTTAACATTTTTACCTGCTAATAAAGGTATTAAACTTTATTTTAAAGCTGAAATAAAGCATAAAAGTGGGTGAGCGAATTTACCCGCAATGAGCGAAATAGCCCCGTTTTACGGTACGTTATTTAGTTAATTAATTTATTTACAGAGAAAATTTGACAAAAAATTATTTTCTCATCCTGATA